GGCATAAGTGAAAGGTATGGACGAAAAGCAAATCTAAAACGACTATTTGGCCTGCTCTCAGTGTGGCTGATGGCTTCTGCTCAGGGATAATTCTCTAAGAAGCCATATAACATGAGTCTCAGTATTACCTATGGGGCAGGGAAAGGAAGGAAGTTGACTCACAGCTCATCTTTCATTGGTCAGGGACTCACATCAGTTTTTCATGGCTAGATGCCAAGCAAGTTTCTGTGGTAGCCCCAAACACAGGGTCAACAGGGACCCTGGAAGGAGAGCCATGAGACAAAGCACTATCAGGATCTGCTTGTGTGAAGTCAGATGGACCTCACTCAGAGCTACTTGCCACAGCAGCTGCAAGATGAGTCAGTTGTCACCATGGGGCTACAAAGGCCTAATACAAAGATGAGACCAGAGATATAAGAATTCTGTACCATATAGTAATTTCCCGTTTCCAGAGTGTTCCAGGAGGGGAAAACAATTACTACTACTCAAAAGGGTAGCCTCAGAAAGGCTTCCTGCACTTCTAGAACTTTCTGGTAATAACTCTACATACCGAAGATGGAAGATGTCTGGCTGTAATCTCTCAGTTTCCTGCCCCCAGTCACTTCTCTGTTTCCTCAGGTAGACCATGAGCTTCACCACTATTTTTTTGACTCTAAACCTGTGGAAAGAAGAATCTGTTTCCACTAGTCCATTTTATTCTCCTCACAAACTTACGGCAAAATTATTCCTCTCACTGATCAAATAGGCCCATCTCACTGATCGATAGAAAAATAAATCTTGGTAGAGATAAATTTCTGTCACTTGTGGGCATCCCCTAAGCACTCCTGTTGATCTTCCAAGCTCGCTTCTTTCCCTCATGTGCTGGTCATAAGCACGGTTATTCAAAGGAGAATCAGGAAATGGCAATAGTGTGAACCTGGCTTCCTGACTGACTTAGAGGTGCAGAACCCCTGTGTTTGCCTACACTGGATGATGCCATGGACAAGAAATAAGCACTGTCAAGTGGCTGAGACAGGCAGGTTGACTGTTACATCCAGTTGCACACCCTGACTATCACAGGACGTGTCTGATGACATTGAATTCCCTGACCTTTCAGTACAAGACCGTGTTTGTAACTCAAGCGCTAGTGCAGTGTCTGGTACATAGTAGGCATTGCACAAAGTCTGAATGACTGTGTTGAGCTGATATCAGAGTCTAGTCTGAAAGGCTCAGTGATCAAATAGGAGGCAAGGAAGCAGGTAGAAAGTGCTCAGGAAGGGTAAGTGTAAAGATGGAGAGATTAGGGAAACTATGGTTCAGTCTCAACACCGACAAGGTTCATGACGTAAGAGGGAGACATCCACAGTGAGGCTAGAGAGAGGGCAAAGATAAGATCATAAAAAGGAATCCTGGTGAGTGCCTGATATGACAAAAAATAAACTATGTACTTGTATGAAATTATCAAAGAATAAATTGAAATATATCTTTAAAGGAAAAATTAAGTTCCTGGTGATAAGACACCATGACCAAAAGCAACTTAGGGAGTAAAGGGTTTATTTTGGCTTATAGTTTATATACCATCGTGGAGGCAAGTCAGGGCAGAAACTCATGGCAGGAATCTTGAGGCAGGAACTAAAGCATAGACCATGAAGGAACGCTCCTTACTGGCTTGCTCAGGGATGACACTGCCTGCAGTGGACTGGATACTTCTACGTCAAAATTGTCAATCAAGAATATACCCCACAGGCTTGTCTTCAGGACATTCTAATGGGGTCATTTCCTCATTTGAGAGTCCCTCTTCCCTGATGATACTGCCTTGTATCAAGTTGAGAAGAAAAATAGTCAAATACACTCAAGGTCAACTGCAGCAAGTAACAAAGGAGGTATTTGAGCCACCATAGCCTCATCTGGGACTGGGACTTTTCCAGGAACCCATCCTGTGGAGTGAACATTGATCAGTGTGCTTCAAGATGGGATTGCATAGTGGTAGAACATGAAAATGCTTCAAGTACTGGCTTTACTTGTAAGCACAAAAGAAACATATTCTTAGCAAGTATTCTTGGAGTTTCAGATTCCGCAGAACTTTTGATTTGTATGCATTCAGTTTTAGTGGAATACAAGTTCTTATGTTGTAGTAAGTAGAAATAAACTTTTGAAGTATGAAAAAAGGAAGTGTGAAATTTATCCCATAGGAATCCTTCAAGCATTTCAAATTAAGATGTCCTTTTGTCACACATTTAAGGGTGATCTCACTAGCTGTCTAGAAAAAGGAAGGATTAGAAAAGAAGAGCCAAAAATACAAGTTTTTAAAGCAACACTTACCATTTTTCCAAATCATTCATCGCATGAGATGCCCAACCAAGTGTTTTGGGATGAGTATTTTTCAAGAGTCGTGGATACTGTAGCCTTTTGGTGGGGAGTGTTCTTGGGAACAATGTATTAGCATACCCCTCAAAATCTCAACTGACCTTGCTTTATTAAAGTCTGTAAAACTTCAATAGTTCTTAAAATTATTTGACCACAGAACTCTTCTCATTTCCAACCTACTACAACTGATATTACTTAGGATTACATTTGCTGGAGAGATGGCTTAGTGGGTTATTAAAGAGCACTCAATGGTCTTTCAGAAAATCCGAGTTCAGTTCCCAGCATTCACTTCGAGTAGCTCACAACCACCTGTAACACCAGCAAAATCTAATGTTTCTGGCCATTGAGATACTCACACTCAAACACGTAATTAAAACTGCTTAAAAATAACTCTAAAAATAAAAAATAGCTTCAGAGGAATAATATTGTTGAGATTTATTTTCTTCTTGAATAAGAACTACAAGAGGCAAACAGTCTGATAGTGGCATGGTACATTGAAAACCAGGCTTCAATATTTTGCTTCACCTTTTTTAGCTGTCACTCTTCATTTTATTTTCCAGGATGACTATTGATGTCCATGGAAGGAAACAGGAGATGGTAAAAAAAAAAAAAAAAACGCACAGGGTGGGGCAGTACAAACTCTCTGGAAATAGTGACCATCACTTTTGTTTGTATCTTTTAGACCAGAACTTTGCTTGCATAGGTTTTCCAAGGCACAAAGGAGGCTGGGAAATATGATAATTTCTGTGTGTCAAGTTAAAAATCGGATCTATCACTAAGAGCTGATATACTCAACCAGCAGAACTAGGTCGATGTCTCACAAAGGTGATGTTCCACAGAGTGTGCACTTGGATAAAATGTATAAGTAAGGAGATTGATTTTATAAAACCAGTTTTAGCCACTTTATTGTGGCACAAAATTCAATACTGTATAATTTGCCTACTGAAAGAAGTGAACAGTTTGATGATGATCAGTAAATCTATACAGTCAAGCAGCCATCCCAGGCTTTAGACTATTCCCATCACCCACCAAATTCCCATTGTCAATTGATCCCCATTGCCACACATAGCCATTAATTTACTTCCCTCCATCCCACCATATGTAGTATTTCATGTCTGTCATATTTCATATAACATTAAATATTGTGGCTCATCTAGACTGTAGAGTGTTTTGTTAATTCATTGTTTCTTTATTGGTGGGCAACATTACATTGTATAGATGTCATAGTTCCTTTTTGGGTTGCTGTGATAAAATACTCTATCAAAAACAACTGTAACACCAGCAAGATCTAAAAACAACTTAAGGGAGAGGGAGTTTATTTTAGGCCACAGTTTCAGGTTATAGTCATTATAGTGGAGTCACGGTGGTAGGAGCATGAAGGAGTTGTCCATGTCTCATCCATAATCAGAAACAAGACAATGAATGTGTGAGTGTTTGTACTAAGATCATTTTCCACACTCTTAAGAACCTCTGCCTAGGGAATGGTGTCACCCACAGCAGGCAGGTCTTCCAATATTTATTTACATACTCAAGATGATCCCCTAAAGACATGCCTGCAGGCCAACTTAGTCTAGATAATCACTCATTTACACCCTCTTCCCAGGTGATTTTAGACAGTGTCAGTTGACTATCAAGACTATCATAATGGATATACCACTTTTTGTTTATTTAGTCATTAAATGGTGGGCATTTATATACTTGTTTATTTAGGACCATGGAGGATCAATCCCCGGGTTTTATAAATGTTTAGGCACATAACCTACCATGGAGATACACCCCACCAGTTCTCTCTCTCTCTCTCTCTCTCTCTCTCTCTCTCTCTCTCTCTCTCTCTCTCTCTGGTTTTTACGAGACAGGGTTTCTCTGTATTGTTTTGGAGGCTGTCAGTCCAGCCCGGCCTTGAACTCACAGAGATCCGCCTGCCTGTGCCTCCCGAGTGCTGAGATTAAAGGCGTGTGCCACCACTGCCCAGCTCACCAGTTCTCTTTCTATGTTTTTGTTTTGAAAAATGAATTCACTAAATTGCCCAGGCTGGTCTCCAGCTAATTCAGTAAGTAGTTCAGATTCAACTTGACCTTTTGATCTTCCTGCTTACAATGTTCAAGTAGCTAGGATTACAGGCCTCTCCTGCTAAAGCCTGGCTATGATGGTTTTGTTTAATAATTCCGTTTTAGAGGAGGAACGAAGCTCATAAGACTCATTAATTACACGAAACTCACAAGTCTCAGACTCCTGAAACTTACAAGAGCCACAAGACCCCTACCCAAGAATATACCAGCAGTTAACAATTGCTGGGGAGAAGAGATTCTCTAACCTTCCCAGCAAGGGATGCATTTCTCATGTTTTCTTTCCTCATGTTGGACTAGGCTTTTCATCGATACAGTTACCTTCAAGTTGTTCATGTTCCTGTTAGAAACCCCAATGAATTTATTGATTCACTAAGCTAGAGTTGGGTAGAATCTGAAGTTTTTTTCTTTTTTTCTTTTTTACTACATCTCCACAGGAAGAGTCACATAATATGATGGGCATTTAAATTGTCCCTTCTTTGTCACTCTTATGAATAGTACTGCTATGGACTTTCATATTCAACCTTTGTATGTATTGATTTCTTAGAGTGATTCTAAAGAGATTGGTGTTTAAAATTGAATACATACCTTGAAAGTTCTTGTTCGTTTTAAAATGCCCATTGCTGACAAACAGTGTCCTAGGTTCTGGAGGTGCAATAGTGAATAAAATTTGGTACATGCTCTGCCTTGCAGTCTATGCAAGGACGGGAGTTAGTCCAACAAACACAGAAACAATTTTAACATCTTGAAAGTCAAATATCACAAAGGGGTGCTATATGGCAGTGAGATTGTGCTAGAAGGATCTTTTTTGGCCAAGGAAACCAGAAAAAAAACTGTCCTTGAGCTGAGTGAGACCTGAAGCACATTGTAGCTGCCACTCTAATATTCCTCCAAAGAAATAGCATATTTTCACTCTTGCTGCCCCTTGCAAGCAACTTGCAGGTGTGCTGGTTTCAGGCACTGTTGACAAATTTAGAGAGGCCACCACCTGCAAATGGACAATACAGAAGCAACATCGTTTTACATCTTAGGAAAAAAATACTGCAGTTTCTTTGAAAAATAATGAATTTGTTTTCATGTTTTGTTGAAGTATGATAGCCATTCTCCAAGACACCCCTCCCAAGTCTCTACCTACTGCCATTTGCCTCTTTATATTGTCTTGTTGTGGAATATTACTTTGTCTAGGCAAAGATGTGTTAACATTTGTTTATGCTACAGAATATTACTTTAATTGTGTAAAGGTGTGTTCTATTTGGTTATGCTACATTTGTTTAATTATGTAAAGATGTGTTGCAGTTTCACCTGGTATGCTTAAAGCACCTGATTGGTCTAATAAAAAGCTGAACGGCCACTAGCAAGCAGAAGAAGGATAGGCAGGGCTGATGGGCAGAAAGAATAAGTAGGAGGAGGAATCTAGGCTCAGGGAAGGGAAGGTGGAAAGTGGTAGCAGAAAACATCTGATGTTAACCTCTGACCTTCATATAGGAATACACAGATGCATGCACCAAAATTCGTCTGATCATATCCCAAAACATCTGCACATACATGTGCACTCACATGCAAACACCACACACACAAACACATACCCACAAATATTATTGCTAAGTGTGTCTGTCGAAAGTGTGTTGAGAAGACATTAGTGCTTGAATAAGAAGACTGTAGGAGAGAGATGTCTTTTACCAATGTTCGGTGAGCATCCTATTAATTCCATCCATCACAGGGTCCATCCAAGTAAAGCCAGAGGGTGGGGTATGTACACACCCTCTGTGTGGATGAGCTGGGTCATTTACTGTCTCCTGTTCTCAAGCTTGGAGACTCATACTGTGCTGGTTAGTTTTCTGTCAAGTTGACACCAGCTAGAGTCATCTGGCAAGAGGGAACCTTAATTGAGAAAATGTCTCCATCAGATTGGCCTAGAGGCAAGTTTGAGGGGGTGCATTTTCTTCATTAGTGACTGGGCTGTGAAAACCAAACCAGTAAGTGATGTTTCTGTTTCTACCAACAGGTTCCTGCCTGGCTTCCCTCAGTGGTAGGCTGAAACCTGTAGGTCAAGTAAACTTTTTCTCCTGCAAGGTGCCTTTGGTCAGTGTTTTATCACAGCAACAGGAAGCAAACTAGGACAAGGACTCAAAAAACACACCCCCTTCTACCTCCACCTTGATCTTCAGTTTTCAGGCTTAGCTTAGGAGTCACCTCCACAGCTCCATGGCTCTCAGGCCTTTGAACTCAGGTTGAATTTCAACATTGGATTTTCTGATTTTCTGTCTTACAGATAGTAGGTAATGGAACTTCTGGGCCTCCAAAATCAAGTAAGCTGATTCCCATAATGTCTCTCTCTCTCTCTCTCTCTCTCTCTCTCTCTCTCTCTCTCTCTCTCTCTCTGCATGTACTCATGTGTATTCTATTTGTCTGTTTATCTGGAGAAGTCTGATTAATGCAGATATTAATATAAAAATAGGGACAGTCACAACATAACTGGCTATGTTGAAGGAAATAGTCCTCAAAGTGTGGGTTCCAATTCAGTATACTTGACTTAGATGTATATTAAAGTTTGAGAGTTTGAGGGGCTGGGGAGATGATTTAGTGGATATGAACATTTACTGAACGAGAATAAGGCCTTGAGTTCAGATCCCCAGCACCCATATCAAAAGCCAGGCATGGTCAAGGACTATAAGTCCAACACTGTGGGGAGGGGTTTGAAGCAAGATGATTGCTGGGGCTTCCTGGCTACCAGCCCAGCTCCAGGTTCAGCAGAGATCTTGTCTCAAGGGAATAAGGTAGAGAGCAGCAGAGCAGGACACTTGCCCACCTCCTCTGACACACATCACACACACACACACACACACACACACACACACACACACACACGCTCTTTAGAGTTACTAAATTAGGAGACACAGATGAGGCTAACCCTGGGCAGGCAGTGTGACACTAGAACCCCTAATAGCATTGGGTATTCATTACAGCGCCAATTTTGAAGTCTGATAGCAGCCATGAAAGATGTCCTTATAGCCCCTAAAGAAATCTGAATGGGGACTCAATGTTAGGAGGAATCAAACTAAGAATCTTCTGTGTGCATATCCACATAATTTCATGGTGGGGTGAACTTGTGTCCATGATAGCTTAATGGCCTTAAGCCATACAGGAATCTAGCAATAATTTAATCACATTTCTCAGTGATCATGTCTTGACATGGTCAGTCATGTGGCATATGATCAGTAATTTGTTATTAACCAATTAATAAGAACCATAGTCTGAATTATTTACATGTGTGTTCTATGGTGTTCTATGTGTGTGTGTACACATGTGTATGCAGGTTCCCAGGCATTATGTAGCATATGTGTGTACAAATGTACTTGACGGTGCATGTATATGTTTGTATGTGACAGCCAGAGGTTGATGTTGGGTATCTTACTTAGTCTTTCTCTACGTTATTGTTATTATTATTATTATTATTATTATTATTATTATTGTTATTATTAGTTTATCATCATCATCATTATTAGTTTATCATCATCATCATGTGAGACCAGGTCTTTCACTGACCCTATTTGTCTAGACTATCTGCTCAGTAAGCACCATAGATTCTCTTGTCTCCATCTCCCCAACTCTGGGATTACAGATGCATTGTGCTCAGCTTTTTCCACGGGTGCTTTGGATACAATTTCAATTATACTTTACTCAGTCTTTAAAGTATTTGCTTTATAGACCAAGCCATACCCCCAGTCTCTGCTTTAGCTTAAAAAATTAAATGGCTATCTTTATAATAATATTATTTCTATACATTTGAATTCTGATGTGCTCTCCTGGGTAGCAGAGCAGGGGGTAGCATTTTAGTTGAGTGCTGGGACTTTGTGTAATCACAGCCCACCTTATCTATGTCCCAGCCTGTGGTGAAACCATTAGCAGTCCTGACAACTGTGAATTACAACTGTGCTTTGGAATGGTGGTTTTATAGTTACTGACACTGTTTATGCCTTTACATCAGTAGTACATGCTTTTTTCCTTATTAATAGCACCTTGGGGGGAATGTCTAAGGAAGAATAAAACTTGTTGTTAAAAATAAAATTAGTCATATTTATTTTGTTTTTCCTTACACAGTGGCAACTTCTGAGATTTTTAAATGCCACATTTCATTATTCAACTATTTACAAAATGCTTTTATAGCCATCAAATCACAAATATTTTACAGTACCATTTGTCTTCTTGGGGGGGAACAACAATAACACAACTTGTGAGGAGTATAGGTTTTATGAAAAAAATCTTTTCATGGAATTAATGGCAGAAAATCATAGAAAGACTGTTAAGACACATAGCTCTAATCCAACACATCCCTACACAAATGCTCACACGCTGTGAAGTTGTTTATTGCTTGAATTTCTTCAGGGTATGAGTAGGATCAACTCAAAGTTAACACCATCAGGGCTCTGTGAACTAAGTAAGATCCAGGGAAGGCATGCTGCAGCCAATCAGTACAAAGTACTGGCAGGCAAAATGGAGTTGGGGGTAGGAACCAGGAGTTTCAAGTCATTTGACATAGGGTCAGAAAAGAAGGTGTTTGAGGACAAGCAACAAGGATGCAGACAGACTGACTTGCTTGAAGTGTGAGGTATGCGAGAGTGAGTGAGTAAGTGAGTGTGTGTGTGTGTGTGTGTGTGTGTGTGTGTGTGTATGGATCTTGAAAGATTACAGTTTGACTAAATAATGGTCATGGACAAGACTCACTCATCTAATCAGATGAGAGGTTGAATAATAGATATATTGATACATGAATGACTTGTGGATGAATGGGTTATTGAACATATAAATCAAATTGGGATCAATGCCTGTTATGGGTGATAAATGAAAACCGGGGAAGTGAATGAGTAGTTTAATGAATACATATACAAGTAGACACTTGGATGGATGTAGAAACGTGCTCATATATACATAATCAAGTGGGAGACCAAAGAGAAAGACTGTTGGATAAACAGCAAAATAGATTAATGAATGAATGGATTGATGATGTGGAAGAATAATAACCCAAAGATGTTCCCATATTAATTCCTGGAAATTTTTTAGATTTTAAAAAATGTGCATATGTGTATGACTGTATGTGTGTATGTAAGTACAGGTAACCTTGGAAGCCAAGGGCATTTAATGCTTTTGGAGCTGGACTTGCAGATGGTTGTGAGTTGCCTAGCATGGATCCTCTGTAAGAGTCGTATATCCTCTTAACTGCTAAGCCATCATTCCAGCCCCTGGAACTTTAAAAAATATTATTTTGCTAGGTAAAAGGGAATTAAAGTTGTTCATAAGCTGTGTTTGAAATTAAGTGATTATTCTGGTAATTATGAGTAGTCCCAAGACAATCACAAGATTCTTTATGAGTATAAGAGAAAAATGGAAGGTGGTCAGCCAGATGGGTTAGCAGGTAAAGGTGCTTGCTGCCAAGTCTGACAACCTGAGTTTGATTACTAAGCCCTACATGATAGAAGGTGAGAACTAACTCTCAAAAACTGTCCTCTGACTTTCAAGCACTCTCATGTGTGTACTCATGTGACCCCCCCCACATACACAGGGCATTTTAAAAATTAAAAAGAAATAATTCCAGGTAGAGATTTGAAGGTGTTATATAACTGGTTTTCAAGTTGGAGAAAGGTGACCTTGAGACCATATAGGAAAATTCACAGACAAATAGGTAGATGAGTAGATAGAGACACGGGCATGTAAGCTTGCAAAGAGATAAAATAGGGTGGACATCCACAGACAGATAAATGCACCACCACCCAGCTCCATGTCCTTTTTCAATCTGGTCTGCTACCAGAAAGGGCCACCCCTACTTAAAGTGGCTCTTCCCATATCAATTAAGACGATCAGGACAGTTCCTCTGCTGAGGCTCCCTATTCAGGTGACTCTAATCTGTGGCAAGTCGAGATTAAAACTAACCGTCACAACATCCTTCTTGCAAATAGTGAACTTCTGTCCATCCTTCATAATAAAACAAGTGCTGCTTTCTCAAAGAAGCCTGACTTCATATACCCTCATTTATACATTTTTTCTACAGCACTTCAGTTCATTTGCATGATCACATGACTCAGATCACTTTCTCCCATTTGGCTGCTAACTCTGAAGGAACAGTGATAGAAGATTTTTGTATGCCATTTTTATCTTTATCACTATGTCATAGTTAGTACAAAAAGATACTCAGTAAGTCTCTTACATTAGGTGTAATCTGAGTTTTAATTAATTAGGTAATTGATTACTCTTTGACCATTTTATATATATATACGTATATATACCATATCTCAGCCATTTTTACCAACCCCTTCCAACTTCTGCTGAATACCTTTTTCTCAGTAAGCAACCCCCTCTCCTATTTTCTTGTCTTTGTCATTGACTTCCTTTGTTTCCATGTTTTCTTGTGACTCACTGAGTTTAAGGATTGTTTGTGTGAACATGGTTACAAAGTAACTTACTGGAGCATGTGTAACTTAACAGTGGTTATAGCATTGAAGAAAATGACCCCTTTCCACTCCCAGCAACCATTAAGTGCCAACTGGGTATCATAATCTCCTCCCGGTTCACTATGCAATGTTGAATGGCCCCATCTTGTACAAGTCTGGTCTACAAAGCAAGTTCCCAGACTGTCAGAGCTGTTACACAGAGAAACCTTGTCTAGGAAAAAAAGAAAGGAAGGAAGGGAGGGAGGGAGGGAGGGAGGGAGGGAGGGAGGGAGGGAGGGAAGGAAGGAAGGAAGGAAGGAAGGAAGGAAGGAAGGAAGGAAGGAAGGAAGGAAAAGAAAAAGAATGATCTTTCTTGATGGGCTTAATCTATTTTTAATGTTGGGGTATTTTGACAAGGGCAATGTTCCTACAAAGAGTCAACCTGAAAGCTCAGGACCCCCTCTGCCTAGGGTCTTCTCTGCTTTACAGTAGGCAAGAGCCCCCATCTCTGGAACATCTCTCTGCCCTCTCTCAGGCCCTCCTCATTCACCCAATTTGAGCCAGCATGCTCTTTGACCGATGAGTCCCCTTCGCCCTCGCTCCTCCTGATCACCACCAATGCTGGCTCCAGCTGCCTGCTCCTGCCCTGCTCTAGATATGACTCAGAAGTCACACCTCTTACAACCTCAGGCACATGTCCTTCTGTCTCTCTAGGCATGCTTCTCTTTCCTCACAGCTGGCTGTTTTCACTTTGTCTTTCCCATTCTCTGCAGGCTTCAGCTTGAGTTTTGGAATCCGTTATTCTTTTCTGTAACCCCCCCCTACACACACACATTAAGCGTCTGAGAGGATGGCATTCAGATCCCGGCACTGGCTCTGTATGAGCTAGATTTTGTGCCTTTGAGCATGATGTTTAAACTTTCTGAGCCTCAGTTTCCTAATCCATGAATTGCAATAAGTCTATGCCTCAGGGCATATGTGGAAATTAAACAAGATAATCTAAATAGCAGGTCTAGTACAGTCTCTGGCAAAAGGAAGTGATAATTACAACCTACCTCCTTCCTTCCCATGTTCTCTCTCTCTCTCTCTCTCTCTCTCTCTCTCTCTCTCTCTCTCTCTCTCTCTCTCTCTCGTTCCTTCTGTGCAGCACATTGCAGCCTCCCTTTCTAGTTCCCATTTTCTGGACTACATAAAAATAGCAACACATAAAATGAGAATTGCTCAGTGTATTTTTACATCCTCCGAATAACTCAATTCAATTATAGACTGGTCAATTTTAGGTATTCGAGCATTACCAAAGCATCTAAGGCTGGTAAATAAAGTTCCAAATCTCTTTTCAGAAAATAAAGGACTAAGTTAATACTTTACACAAATGGTTAGTTAAGGAAGGACACTTTCCTTGAGGCCCTAAACCTTATTTGGAATGTGTCAGCAATTGCTAACTCTGCTGTCTGGAAGACAGTGCACAAGGAACCCTTTATACTTTAAATCTGACACAGCCTCTGAGAACCTAGCTGAAGAATTGAAGTCCATGTTCTCTGGCAAGGGAGATTTGGCAGGAGATCCCTGAGTGCACCCAAAGAGTGCTCATGTGACTCATTTTGTGCAGGGGATCCAGAAGATGAGGAAGAAATGGAACAACAAATGGGCAAGTATTTACCAACCCATTGTTGTGACTGTTAGTGGGCAAACAGTCCCTCTCCCTGAGCTAAAGGGTGAGTCAAGGCAGGATCATAAGCATTCGTACAAACACAAAGGAACAAGGATGGTCCAGGTTCAAATACTGGCAGTGCCACTTTTTATTGTTGTGGGGATGCATCCCTGTTTTTTGTGTGTAGGTGCAATTATGTGAAAGGTCACACTGGCAAAGGTATGTACATAGGTGTTGAGGACATAGGACAACCTTGGATGTCTTTCCTCAGGTGCTGTCCACCTTTTTAAATGAGGTTTAGAATTCTCTAATAGGCTAGAATGGCTGACCAGCAAGCCCCAGGAAACTGCATATCCCTGCCCTCCAGCATTGAAATTATAAGCATGCTATTACACCTGACATTTAAAAATGGGTTATGGGAATCAAACTTCATGCTTTCACAGCACATGACTTATCAAACAAGCTAACTCCCCAGGACCTAGTTCTTGATTCTTTAACTTTAGTCAAATAACTCCATTTATCTGGACCTCAACTTTATCTGTAAGAAACTGACACTATTTACATAGTGTGCTAGAATAGTCCTGGGCACCTAGAAAGTACTTAATCATAGGTGTGATTTGAGTTATAATGATTATGTGATTTCTTGCACTTTCTCCTTGGTTCTTTTGTTCATTTTCGTTTTAGAATATTTATTTTATGTGTCTGAGTGTTTTGTCTCATGTATGTTTGTGTACCATGTGCATGTCTGGTCCCTATATAGGTCAGAAAGGGAATCAGATCCCCTAGAATTGGTGTTGTGGATGTTTGTGAGCAACTACGTGCGTGCTGGGTATACTGAACCTGAGTCCTCTGCCAAAGTAGCAAGTGCTCTTACTGCTGAGCCATTGCTTCAGTCCTCATTTCATTGGTACTTGTCTTAGGTAGGGTTACTATTACTGCGATGAAATACCATGACCAAAAGCAACTTGAGGAGGAAAAGGTTTACTCAGTCACAGTTCCGTATAACACTTCATCATCAAAAGCAGTGAGGACAGAAACTCAAACAGGGCAGGAATATGGAGGCAGGAGCTCATACAGGGACCATGGAGGAGTGCTGCTTACTGGCTTGCTCATCATGGCTTGCTCAGCCTGCTTTCTTATAGAGCCCAAGACTGCCAGCCTAGGGGTGCTCCCCTACCCACCCACAATGGGCTGGGCCCTCCCACATCAATCCCTAGTTTAAAAAATGCCCTTATAGGCCGATCTTATGGAGACATTTTCTCAATTGAGTTTAGCTCCTCTCTGATGACTCTAGTTTGTGACAAGTTGACATAAAACTAACCAGGACAGTATTGCTTCCTTATCCACCCATGGGAATGTTGAGAGTTATGCCAACGAAAAGAGGAGGAAGACTAACATTTCTCAGAGAAGACTATAGGAATTAACACCCAGGATTCTAACTCCCAGACTTAGCTAAGAAATCAGATTCTTTTTGTTTGCACTATGAAGAAATTTGTTTCTAGGGAAGATTTCATACTAAGTGAATTCACAAGCCAACATAAAAACCAGATCTTATATCAATTAATTTCAATGAAACATATAACTTTTGATAGTATCAGGATACTCTGCATGATTAGTCCCTATTCTTCTCTTACACCTGTACAGAAGGATGAAGTTTAAAAATGAAATACAATACATAATTTAGAGTCAAAGTGGTAAGACTTAGAAGCAGTGTCTGCAGCATTGGCCGCATAAGCTCATTAGCAGCCAGGCCAGTGCAATGATCCACAGTGTCCCAAACAGACTCCTCTATACCCTGCCTCTGTGGCCACAGCTCTCCACCTTACCTCTATTACAAAGGATGTCCCAAAAGGTAGAGTTAGGCCTTCACTTCCACACTCCTCAGGCCCCATGTTCAAATGGCCATTGTTTTAACCATGTTTGATTGCAGTTCCTGCACATACACACACACACACACACACACACACACACACACACACACACATATAGATATAGATATAGATATCAGGGCCAAGACTGACCTGTGCATCACCAGTGTCCAACATCAAGTGATGGATGAATGAGGGTGTTTCTGAGTCTCTCCTTCCCACCATAGACTCTCACTCATGGGGCTGCTTCTTGCTTTGGATCTGGTTTGTTTGATTGAGAAATGTGTTGTTTCCTCAACTTTAGATGAAGGTTGCTTCTTGTCCCAGTCTTGCTAGGAGGATAGCGTAAGCTCTTGATTTGCATCACCTGCCAGCTGGGCATCTCATCACTAATTTTGGCTGCCTGGTGGGAGAGTCTCGAAGGCTAGGCTGCAGTAAAAATCCTGCAAGCCTCTTAAATCCTTTCCGAGCTGGCAGGATTCCCATTATCTCTGCTACACTCCTGGGGTAATCCAGACCCAGACCCTAACTCTTCTGGCTCTCTACATGGTTTTATAGGCAAGAGGGCCAGGCCTCCTTATGACCAGAGAGCTCAAACCTTGCTTCCAAAGTGAACTCCCTACCGTTCTGCCCCTGTTACACTGCTTCAGACAAACAGCTGAGTCACTGCAGGCTAGGAGTCCCTCAGCATTACAGACACCAGCAGAGCAAGAGACAATGAGCTCATTCCACATACTTGCAATACAAGTAGCTGCCCAAGGCAAAGAAGTCCCCAGGTCACAACTGTGACCTCTAACTGTTGTAACCCTTTGGAGAGAAGTGCTCTTAGAATCTAATCTTGCAGAGGCATTTGTCCCTGAGAAGACTTCTTCTTAGGGAAGGGACAGTAGGACCCCATTAGAATGTCTCTAGAACACTTGATTTAGCTGTCCTATATCAGTTTCCTCTGGGTTGGACATGACCGTTGCTGTTATCATCTGCAGAAGACATTCACCAGATCTGGGCTATTAATATTCTCTACTGGTAGGAAGGGCAGGACTTAGGGGCTCATGAGGCTTACAAGCTGTCACAAGATCCTCATGAAATCTCTTCCCTTTCAGAGGTTTTATAAGAGACAGACGACAGTTGGCTAGGGTGCAACTCTTCCATATGTAGCTGTCTGTTATTTGCTCATGGGATTTGCCCGTGCAGGTGTCTTTGAGTCAGTCACCCATGTTCTTTGTTATAAGTATCCCCAGTAAGTTCATCAGTTCACCAAGTTGGATTTGGATGGACTCCTTTCTTTGGTCTGTCAGTGCCCTATGTCTGTTCCCCAGGAAAAGTCATGTGACTTTTTGAGCTCTGGGACTCAGGGCTAGGAAACTAACAAGAGACTGCATGTTCTAGGCAGGATGTTTGAGGGCCATCATGTTAGGTACTTTCTAACTCCCTAGCTGGTCACAAAAGTTACTGAAATGTTCTTCTTGCCCCTGCTTGTTTGCTCAAGTGGGAGATGCATACCTAGGCTGCTGGTCGAGGAATTTCCCACAAAGGACCTAAACTCTGGTGTGGCCAGATATTTACTCCACTGGAAAGAATTTGAAGATGAATAGATGTCTTAGTCAGGGTTTTTATTGCTGTGAATGGATACGATGACCATGGCAATTCTTAAAAAGGAAAACATTTAATTGGGACTGGCTTACAGTTTCAGGGGTTTTGGCTATCATCATGAAGGGAAGCATGGTAGAGCACAGGCAGACATGATGCTGGAGAAGGAACCTAGAGTTCTACATCTGAATCAGCTGGTAGTAGGAAGAGAGAGACCTTAGGTCTGACTGGAGTATTTGAAACCTCAAGGCCCACCCCCAGTGACACACTTCCCCCAACAAGGCCACACCTATTCCAACAAGGCCATACCTCCTAATAGTGTCACTTCATAGGAGCCTATTGGGACCATGTTCATTCAAATCATCGTAGTCAATACAGAACAAGTTGATAATTGTTCAGAAGGAGATGGTGCATGCTTTAAATTGAAACATGCCACTAAAAGAAAAAGAACGATGTGCTCAAAGATGTGTGTATATCCAAGAGACAAATGACCAAAGCAGAATGGCTTGGATGTGGAAAAGCATCAAGCAGAAGCCACGAGGCAGCAGAGTTATCTATCAGAAGGCAGCTGGCAAGAAGCTGAGAGCTGATGGGAGTTAAAGTGTGGGGTGAGAGAAGTCCACACAGTGGTCAGAGGGAGAAGCAGACACAGAAGTGCAGGCAGAGAAGACCTAACTCATGAGCAAGCTGGAGTGACAAAGGAGCAAGGATGTCCATTTAGCAGGAGACCACGCCACACCACACTGTGCCCTGGGAACACAGCAAACATTTCCTGTTCACTCACAACAGCTGGGCTGTAGGAAGAGGGCCAGCTCCTGTCTCCCTGGCTGTACCTCCAAGCTGTTGACATGCCAGTGTGGATGGGCAGAGGCCCAGGATGCTAGCCAGAGTGATGGGTGAATCTCCTGAGAGCACATTAATTTTGAAAGTCTCATTTTCCCATGTGGCTGAGAAGGGAAATGGCCTTGGTGGTAGAGCAGCCACCAGTCCATCAAGGGAAATCAAAGGTGGGTGGAAAAGTTAAAATCTGGAAAGGAACCCCAAATCTCTATTCTGCTCAGTGCATTTTCTCTTGCTTTTGCCTCTTTGCACTACTGGAGTGAGTTAAGGGAATGGGTCTCCTAGCAGAGCCTAGGAAGCAGAAGAGATACTGCACATATTTAAAAAACCAAAGTGGAACTAGGTGTAGTGATGCCCATGTGTAGCATTGGAGAGTTAGATGCAAGAAGACAAATCATTTAAGGCCAGTCCTAGTATATAGCAAGTTCAAGGCCAACCTGTGCTATATTAGAACTGTCTCCAAACAATGGAATAATAAAGTAAAATTAAAACAAAAGTACCCCATCAATGGCCCTTTCCATTAACCTTGCATATACCAGGCCCAGTCCTACCAAGAAAACAGTACCATTTGAATCATTTAAGACAGAGGGATTTCATGAAGACCATTATATAGGTCATAATAAGGTTGGTCAGCCCAATAGAAGAGAATGAAAAAACTCAGAGCTTAGTAGCATCTGGAAGCCACTGTCACCAGAAGCTGGAGAGACAGGAGGTGGTGTTACTGGAACTCAGAGTTCAGGTGGGGGAAGCTAAGACTGTGATAATCAGGTCTAATGGAGCTGGAGTCATGGAACTGCTACTGAATGCCACCAGTGGGCTAGATACATATAAATCACCTGGAAGAGTAATTGCCTAATACACAATTCCTAGGCATAATGCTCAGTGCCACATAAACTTGGTATATTGGTGTACACCTGTCATCTCAGCATTTGTGAGGTAGAAGCAGTAGGATCTGGGTAATATTCAGCTACCTAGCTTGTTTGAAGCCAGCTTAGTATGCACTGAAACCCAGCAGTGGGAAAGAGAAAGAACAACTCTGGTCATTTCCTCATCTCCTGTCAGCCTTACCATGTTCCACCTCTCCACAATCTAGCTAATGGAAGGCCTGAGAAAAGCTTTTACAGCGTCAGCCCAATTGTCTCACTGAGTACTCAGACTTTGAAGCACACCAGCTCTGTCACTTGAATTCCATTTCCTCAAGCATTAGTTTGCAGAATGAAATGAATTTAATATTTCAATAACTAGCACTACATGTACATAAAGGGTCAAACACATGCAATCCTTCAGTTCCTTATTGAACACAGATGTTATCACACAAGAAAGTCTTCTCTGTCAGCAAAAAATTCTAAGCATTAGCCATGTTCTGCACAAAAACGACAGATGATTTCTTTGTTGTGTATGTTGGTACCACTTTCTTGGAATCAAATTTGTAGGGAAGAGTGATGCAGTGTGACTCAAATTCCCTCTACCGCAATGTCAGTAGCAGAAGCAGTGTCCAATATCTCCACACACCCAGGCCTTGCAGAAGAGAAAAAAAACAAAACAAAAACAAAACAAAAACCAGGGAATCACTATGTGTCAAGCTAGGAACACAAATTACTGAGTTCCTGCTGAGGCTCCTGCCTTCTCTGCATTATGTCTCCACTGCTGATGACTGTTAGACAGCCTGGTCTCACATCAGAGTGCTATGAAGTGGGAGTGTCACAGAGACATGATGACAGCAGCCCAAGGATAAATAAACCAGGCTTCTTTTCTTTATACAAGGTATGCGTAACTAGACTCTGCTGCACAGTTGGCTTTGGTTTTTTGCTAGTTTTACTGTACATGTGGTGCAAAGATCACAGAAACACCCCTTTGCTTCAGTCTCTGCTGCCTTAAACCTGGATTCCAGCTTTCTGCTCTGGCTTATGGAATTCTGAGGAAGCAGTTCTGGTGCAGCAGCCAGACTCAGTCTCCAGCAGTGCTAGCCACCCTGTCTTAAGAACAATGAAGTGGAAACCCTAGAAAGAAGGGCAGGATCTCAGGACAGGGCACAGAATAGGCCCTTCATAAGGTCTATTGCATAAGTGTCCAAAGGCAAAGACACATTGCAGGCAGTGTCTGGACTGACAGCCAAGGACACTGTCGGCAGCCAGCATGCTGGTCTCAAGCCTCCCCACTGACACAGACCCTGGCTTTCCTCTCAGAAGGCAGACCAAATCTCTACCTGCAATCTACCTGGGTTTAGGTCAGCTTCCCTGGTACTAGTGATGAGGCAATAAAAAAACAAAAGGCCTTGCTTATCTCGATCCCAAAACACAGATACTATCATGTCTATTCCCAGTTTAAGATATTGAATGGCATCCCATTGCCCCAGCATAACATCCTGAACTCCTAGAATGCTCATTCCACTCCCCTCTTTCCTTTGCTTACTCCATAGCCACAGGGGATCAGTTTCAGTTACTCGATGGACTGAACATTTATCCCATAAATCAGAAATTTTTAAGCACTCCCACTTCTTTGACTAACAGTTACTTACCCATCAGGTCTTTCCTGGTGCTCCTCTGGAAAGAGTTGCCAACTAAGATGAGTTAAGTTAACCTGACAGAAACTTAGAGGATACCCAGGATTCCCCAGACCTGCAACCTGCCTGTCACAGTCATCGTATCCTTTCCAACTGCCCCGATCTTGGATGGGAATATGTGAAGATTAAAATGGGGACCTTACTTTCTCTGCTCTTCTGATCTTTTGTTGCAATGTGGGGATTGTATTGGCCTGGGCTGAAGGGAGACATAGGTTATCTTAGAAGAGGGCATTTGCCATTCAGGGATCCTATGTGTTTGAGCACCAATTCCATTTGGAGAAAGCAAGTGCCGAGCATGAAGGAGGCAGCATCCAGCGTTATAGTGCTGATTGAAATGACCTGCCTGTGCTAAAATCTTATTTGGCTTCTCTGAGGCCAGTTTGCCAGCCTTCTAATCACTTCTTTGAGCTACTTAATGCTCTCCCAAAGAATTCCTCTCACTTTAGAATCACAGTTGGAAGCCAGAAGCCTGGCTAGTACAATATCCTTTCTTCTTCCCCAGTTCTGCCATGGGGCCTATTCGCCTTCTCACTCCAGCGGTGCAAAATAACAAATGCAAATTCTCAGTACATTCTGGGTTCCTTTCCAGATTTTGACTTTTCCACCCACCTTTGATTTCCCTTGA